GAGAAATATTATTTTTACTATAGAAAAATTAAATAAAATTATATTAAATAATTTTGATAAAAATTTATGGTTATTTACTAATATAGTTATACATTAGTTGTTTTTGATAACTGTAACTTTAATTATTTTATTTTTTAAAAATTAATATACTATATTATTAATTAATTATTTAGTCTACGTTTAGTGGCCCGATTTTTTAAAAAAAAATATTTTAGATTTCAGAATTTTTTATTATTATTAATAAATATAATTATATTGGTTTTTTAATAATATTGATTTATAATTTTTCACAGACATTTATTTTAATAATAATTTTTTTTTAAAAAAAAATTAATTATAGATTAGTTAGATAAAGATTATTATTATTTAAATATTTAAAATTGATTATAATGTCATATGTATTATATTTAATAGAGATACTTAATAAACTATAATAAGCAATAATAATAATGTTAGTTTAAGTTTAATATTATAGTAATTTTTTAAAACAAACTGTTTATTAATTTATTTTTAATATATTATAAAAATTATTAAATATATAAAAATTAAGCAAATAATTTCTAATTAATTTTTATTATAATAAAATTTATGTTAAAATATTTTTAATACAATTTAGAAAATTAAATTAATAATAATTTTTTGTTTATAACAAATACCATTATAGTAACTATTATTAATTAATTAATTAGTTAAACAATTTATTATAAAAATAACTAAAGTTAGATATAGTGTTATGAAATAATTGAATACAAATAATTTCAATAGACATTTAATATAAATTATAATTTATGTTATTGTTATAAAATCATAAGTATTTTTACAATTTTGAAATACTTAAATAATTTTAAATTATTTCGTAACTATTTTAGTATTATATTAAACTGTAATATTAGATAAAAATTAAAAATAATAAGTTAAATAATTATTATAAATAATAAAATTTTAGGTTTAAACTCAATATTTATTATAAACTTTTATTTTAACACAATAATTACAATATTAAAATTAATAATTAAATTATTTTTTAAACTAATAAATTGTTTATATTTATTAAATTTTTACATAATTAATTTATACATATATATTAAACATTTTTATCATATTTACTAAATATTTTAAGTTAAATATGATTAGTTTTCTATTAAAAAAAATAAAATTTATTTAAAACTGTAAATTATACAAAAAATTATAATAATTATTAATTAGTAAATATTTTCATAATTAATATTATTATTAAATATTTTAAGTTAAATATTATTTTTTAAAAATTTTAACATTTAATAAGTTTAAAAGTGATTATCCTATTATATTTATTTAAAAATTAATAAATAATTTATTTATATATCTAATATTAAATGTTTAATTTACTTAGCATTAGCCAACAACTGTATTTTTACAATTATTTTATATTTTAACTTTTATACAATATATTACTAATGAAATTTACAAATAAAAACTAATTTATATTATAATACTAACAATTAGTAAATTGGTTTTTAATATACAGTAGAGTAATAATAATAATAATAATATATTAAAGTTTAGAAAATTCAAATATAATTTTTTTAATTTAGATATTAAGTTTTGATACATTGATTTTTAATAATAATAATAATTGTTATAAATGTTTTTATTAATTATTAACTATAAAAAACTAAATAATTATAACACTAATACTAATAAAAATGATTTTATTATTATTATTATTATTATTATTATTATTATTATTATTATAGTGAAACATAAGTGATAAGTGAAATATTTTCAATAATTTTTATATTTTTTATATTTTAAAAAAATATTAGTTAACTAATCAATGTGTTTGAATCCCGTATACCCGTGAAACATGTTTCAGTGTATAATTGTATTGTTTTAATTAATTAATTTTTATTTTATTTTTATGATGAAAACCACTACTATTATTGATGTCCTCCCAGCAAATGGTTGTCCCGTTTGCAGTGTGTGTGTGTGTGTGTGTGTGTATTAGTGTTGTCGAACAAGATCTTGGTCTTGCAAGATCTTGTCACGTCTTGGTCTTGTACAAGATCAAGACGTGACGTGATTGAGTACTGAAAAACCAAGACGTGACGTGACAAGACGTCAATCATATAAAACATGACAAGACGTGACAAGACGAATAAATTGAAACGTCATTTATAGCAAAATAATATAATACAGTGAAAGCAAAAGTTAAAATATATATATAATATATATAAATACATATATATATTAAAAGTATATCAATAAATATAGCGTATAATATAATTAGACTGTAATTTAAATGTATTGCATTAGCAAAAAATCTGGTATGAAACACATGTGCTATAGTAAATGAATGTTTTTTTAAAAAATAAAAATGTGTGATAACGGCAATCGCCCGACAAAAAAACAAAAAACTGAAGACAATGACAATGTATTAAAACAAAAATTAGTTAATTTGATTAAAACAAATGCCACTAGTTTGGCATATAAATCAATTGCCTCAAAATCAGATTATATGAAAAATTTTCAAAGAGTTGTGTATGAAAACAATGAAACCAATTATGTTAAATGTACTAAGTGCTCAACTTTGCTTAAATATGTGCCAATACTCGGAACATCGGGAGTCAAAAGACACAGCTGTACTGTAATACAAGACCACGGCAATCAAACGATAGATCGATTTACGTACAAAACGACACCAAATGAGACGCGATTGAAGTCAGATCTTTGTGATAATTTAGTTTATTTTGTTGCAAAAGATTTCCGACCAATTAATATAATAAATGGAGAAGGATTTCAATTGTTAGCTAACAAATTAATACAAATTGGATCAACAAATCCTCAAATACCACTGAATAAAATACTTCCCGGGCGATCAGCAATTAATGATCGTATTAAAACAATATATGACAAAATGAAAGTTAAATTAGTTAATACTATGAAATCAACTGAATGTATTGGATTAACCTGTGATCACTGGACAAATGATTACACAAAAGATAGTTATATCACAGTAACAGTACAATATATTACTAAAAGTGAAATTAAAGCCAGAGTAATTGCTACAATAACAACTAAAGATAAAAAATCAATTACAATAAGAGAAGATATAAATAAAATTTTGAATGAATTTCAAATTTTGGATAAATTCAAGACTTTTACTACAGATAATGCAAGTGCTATGAAATTGGCATTTATTAATGAGGAATGGATTGGTTGTGTGGCCCATAACATCAATAATCTTCATAAAATGTCTTTTAAACAAATGAAGACATTCACAGATCAAAATATAACCACATCAGTAAAAAGTACTAAAAGACTTGTCCAACATTTTAAGATGTCTGGTTTGCAAAGTGGATTGAAAAATAAATTGGTCCAATCAATTAATATCCGTTGGGACTCAAAATATCTTATGATTGAATCAGTCCTTAAAAATATGTCAAATATAAAATTCATAGCGATTGAAAATAAAGTTGTATATGATTTACTAAAATCGATTGATGAAAATGTATTACAAGATATAAGTAATTTCTTAAAACCGTTATTTGACTTAAGACTAAATCTTTGTAAAGATACTAGTCCTACAATTCATTTAGTTCTCCCAACGAAAATAAAGTTTAAACAACTTTGCAATGAATCTGAAATTGATTCTATGGTTATAAAAGAATTAAAAAGAAATTATAGATTAAATATTGAAAAATATCTTAAAATAAATGATTATCATATTATGTCAACATTTTTGTATCCTCCATTAAAAGAATTGAAAAATTTAGTAACAGCTGAAGAAATAAGTAGAATAAAAGAAAAATTAATTGATTTAATGAATGACTTAAATTTATCAACACATTCTATTGAAACACATCAACAAATCAATAAACAAACAACAAATATTGACTTATGTCTTCAAGATTTCATCCCACCTGACACATCAGATAACATATCTGACTCATCTAAAGAGCTATTAGATTATATTAGCAACAAACAAACATATGCTATTGAGTCATCAGTATTATCATTTTGGGATATAAATAAAAACAGATATCCGCGACTATATAAAATAGCTAATAAACTATTTTCAATACCTGCCACCAATTTGACAAGTGAGAGAAATTTTAGTTATGCAAAATTAACCTTAACAGATCGTCGATCTAATCTTAGTTCGAAACATTTAAACCATTTATTATTTATTAACTCTAATTTTGATTTAATTACGGATTAATATTATTGTCATTTCATTCAATAAATATTTTAATAAATATTAATTAAATTATAACCAATAAAATTTTAAAAAATTTAATTGTTATCATTATTTTACATTTAATTAATAATTAAATTTTTATGATTAATTATATTATCAAAATATTGTATTATTTATATTATTTTTATTATATAAAATAAATTATTAGTGGTATTAGTAGTAATAATATTAGTAGTAGTAGTAGTAGTTGTTGTGGTTGTGGTTGTAATATTAGTAGTAGTAGTAGTAGTTGTTGTTGTGGTTGTAATATTAGTAGTAGTAGTAGTAGTAGTTGTTGTTGTTGTGGTTGTAATATTAGTAGTAGTAGTAGTAGTTGTTGTTGTTGTTGTGGTTGTAATATTAGTAGTAGTAGTAGTAGTAGTAGTTGTTGTTGTGGTTGTAATATTAGTAGTAGTAGTAGTTGTTGTTGTGGTTGTAATATTAGTAGTAGTAGTAGTTGTTGTTGTTGTGGTTGTAATATTAGTAGTAGTAGTAGTAGTAGTTGTTGTTGTGGTTGTAATATTAGTAGTAGTAGTTGTTGTTGTTGTGGTTGTAATATTAGTAGTAGTAGTAGTAGTTGTTGTTGTGGTTGTGGTATTAATGGTACATAAACAAGTAAGTAACTAACTATTATATAATCTATATTAATATTTATTTTTCTATTTATTTTAGGTAACTAAGACCCACAATGAGTTATTAATATCTCTAAAATATTTGCATAATTTGGTTCTTCAGATTAGTAGGGTGAAGGTAATGGCTACGGAGTGAGGTCCCGGACCCATTACTGGACGAAAAGTTGAAGATCGGTGTGGAGTGGAGGGATCCAGGGAGGGCCTCTCTGGTCACCTAGCAGCTCGACTCTTACCCGCTCGGAAGGGCCCGAAGGGCCCTGACCTTAACAGTAGATTAGGGGTGGGGCGGGTGAGGGTGCGGTGGGGGTGGCCAGGGAGGGAAGGATCCAACATTATCCGGCCAAAAAGTCCGGCCAAAATTTTCGTGAAAATTAAAAAAAAATTGGCCATGACCCGTGTATAAAAGCTATTTTTATTTTTTTAAAATTTATATTTATGGTATTATTTTTATAAATAATACATATTTTACTAATTAATAATATATAATATTGTTAATTATTATTATATGTAAAAATAATACCATAAATATAAATTTTAATTAAAGAATGAAATAAATGAATACAAATTAATTTTTAAAAATTTTATTAAATATAAAAATAGTTTAAATGATTTTATTATAATATTATTAATAGATGAATTAAAATGAAATTAAAAATATATAAATAAATAAAAAAGTAAATTGATAGTGTAGTATATTACATATGTATATATACAAGACTAGCAAGATCTTGCAAGACGTGACAAGACGTGACGTGATTAGTTTTTAAAAACCAAGACGTGACGTGACAAGACAAGACTAAATCTTGCCAAGACGTGACGTGACAAGACGGGGTTTGGGACAAAAACGGCAACACTAGTGTGTATGAGTGCCGGCGCCCATGTATTAACCAATCAGTGCAATAATCACCCGATAATAACTTTGTACGACTACTACTAATTAAACTGGTAAGTACATGTAAATAATTTTTAAGTTAATTAAAATATTAATTTTTTTACTAAATTTATAATATATATTAATATTAATATTATTATTATTAGTAGTAGTAGTAGTAGTTGTTGTTGTTGTTGTAGTATATGTATAATTTTAAAATAATTATTATTTTTTTAATAGTATTATTAAACTGTAAATTAAAAATATTTATATATATATATTTATGATTACTAATATATAATTTATGACTAATTACTAAATGTATAATAGTATTAATATATTTAATATCTAATTTTTTGCTTATAAAATAGTAAAATTAAAAAAAAAATAGTTTATTAAATATAAATAAAAGTAAATTTATAATTTCATTGTTTAACAAAAAATTTTTAAATGAATTTTTTTTATAAATCTATTTATTTTATAAAAAATGTTTACTTTCTTTTAAATTAACTTATAATAAAATTGAAATAATATTTAGTCATAATTTACTGATTAAAAAATATAAAAAAAATTAAAATTTATATTTAAATCCATTTTGTAATAATTATTTTACCAACAATTATTATTTTTATAAAAACTGTAAATGTTACTTAAATATTATTTACTAATTAAAATTGAATATATTATCGTTAGTATTAGTTTACTTGGTAAATAATTTTTTAATTTATTACATTTACATATTTATTACTGACTAGGATTAATGAAAAATATTTTTAGTAACTTTAATTTAAAAATATTTTATTTAATAATATTTAGCATTATTTTATTTATTAATAATTTAGTCTAAGCTATTTTCAGAAAATTTTAAATAACATTAAATTTATTATTTAAAATTAATTTTACCATAAAGAATTTGTATATTATTATGAAAATCTTTAAAAAATTTTAATATAAAAAACTGTTATTTATTTTATATATTTGAATCTATTATTGAAAAATAACTATAATAAATATTATCATAAAGTAAAACTTCTAATAAATCTATTAAACATAATTGTTATATTAATTTGTTTTTTTATTGACTGTAACAATAATTTATTATTTATAAAAATGCATAAAATATTGTTATTAATAAATCTTACTTAGACAATAATCTGATTCAACATTATTAGTAATTAATATTTTTAAATAACTTCATTAATTTAATTAAATTTTATAAATAATAATATTAATCTAATAATGTAATATTTTAGATTAAATGAATATTAAATAAATTTATATAAAAAAAATAGATATAGAAAAATGTTTTTAAATGTTATAATTAAATATTTTATTTACTTAATAATCTATAAAATTATGATAGCTACAAAAATTAGTCCGGTCAATTAATATAGTATATTTTTTATACAATTACTTGTTTAAAATATTTAAAAAAAAACTGTAAAAATTACAAATTACTTGCAATTAAATCATTTATGATTATTAAAAAATTTAGTATTCAATATACAAACCGTTTATTTTTTGATAACTGTAATTAAAAATATATATTTATAAAAATAGATTAAATAAAATTTAACATTGTTGTTTTTTGATATTCATTTAAATTATACATAAGATAATTATACATTTAAAATAAGTAAATATAATTAAATTTTTTGCAATCAATTTGTTATAACTAAAAAATTAATTATAGTAATGATTATGCTATTGCTATTATAAATTATTAATTTGCTATAAAATACTATTGAAACTAATTTTTTAATACAAATTTAATATTTAAAAAAAAACATATTTTTTTGTAGAAATATTATATTGTAATTTAAGATAAAAATGGATAGGATATGTAAAATAATAATTATTTTCTTTAAACTTTTGATTAATTCAAATCAACATCTATTTATTGAATACCAAGTTTAAAATTATTTATTTTTTTAAATAACATTTTTTTTTGTACTGGACAAATGTTATTTAAAAAAATAATTAATTTAGTAATTTTATTAACAATAATAAATATAATTTTATTAATTACTATTTGTTATATTAATTTTTTTTGTTGTAATTAAGGACATACTAAAAATATAATTTTTTCATTTATTATTAATTACTTAATTAACTTACTGTTATAAAGTTTCAGTTTAAAATTGATTATATTTTCAATTTTTAAATAATTAAAAAAATCTAACATAATTTTTAAAATATAAATAAAAAAATTTTTTTAGTTATGCAATGATTTATATATTAATAACCATTCAAGTTTAACAAAATTTCACTGTTTATTTTTCTATTTAATTATACAGACAATACGGTTATTATTAATTTTTAAAAAAAATTACACTAATTAATTATAATTAATTATAACTGACTAATATTTATGATGTTTTATAATTATTAAAACTGTAAGATAATACATTAATATAAAAAACTTTAATTACTAATAAATAAAAATATTTATTTTAAGACATTGTTAACAGTGAAGTATTATTTATAATAATTTTTATAGATTTTTATTTTAATAATAAATATTTATTTATAATTTAATTTAATTTTATATCAATTATGAATCAATTATTATTATTAACATATAATTGTATTATTATTAGCAAAAATATACAGTATATTCATAAAATGTTAATATTTGGTAATAATTGTTTTTTATTATTTATTTGATACTAAAGTTTTAAATTAAATAACTATTAATCAAAACTATCTATTAATTACTAATTTGAAAAATAGTATATAATTATTAATTTTTTAATATAGATTAATAATAATAATAATATATCAAAGTTTATCAATGTTCAAGTATAATTTTAAATTTAAATATTAAGTTTTATTATTGGTTTTTTAATAATAATAACTATAAAATGTTTTGACTTATTATTAACTAAAAAACTAAATTATTTTTTTTATTATAGTAAAACATATAAGTGATAAATGAAATATTTTTAATAATTGTTTATATTTATATTTAAAATATAAAAAAATAAATAGTTAAATAATCAATGTGTTTGAATCCAATTGAATCCCGTATACACGTAAAAAACTTGTTTCAGTGTTTAAGTGTATTGTTTTAATTAATTTTAATAATTTTTGGTAAAAACCATTATTATTGTTGATGTCCTAAGCAAATGGTTGTCCCGTTTGAAGTGTATGTGTTAGTGCCGGCGCCCCATGTATTAGCCAATCAGTTAATACCCGATAATAATTTTGTACGACTACTACTAATTAAACGGTAAGTACATGTAAATAATTTTTAATTTAATTAAATCAAATTTTTTTACTAAATTTATAATATACTTTATATTATTATTATTATTATTATTATTAGTATCTGTTTAGTTTTACAATAATTATTATTATTTAATTATAGTAGTAAAATATATATTATAATTTTTCTAATTTATATTATTTAATCTGATTGCAATTGAATTGATTTATTATTTTTTATAATAGTATTATAAAACTGTAAATTAAAAATATTAATATTTATATATATATATATTTATTATTAATTATATATAATTTATGACTTATACTAAACTAAATGTATTATTAATATATTTAATATCCAATTTTTTTTACTTATAAAATAGTAAAATTTAAAAAAAATTGTTTATTAAATATAGTAAATTTATAATTTCATTGTTTAGCGAAAATTTTTTAATTTTCAAAAATGTTTACTTTATTTAAAATTAACTTTAAAAAATAAAATTGAAATAATATTTAGTCATAATTTACTGACAAAAAAAAATACAAAAATTTAAAAATTAATATTTAAATACCTATAACATTTTGCCATAGTTATTTTACCAACAATTAATATTTTTTAAAAAACAGTAAATTTTACTTAAATATTATCTACTAATTGAAATTGAATATATATTTTATTGTTTGTTAGAACTAGAGCCCTTGTTGGTTAATTTTTTTTTTTTTAATTTATTACATTCACATATTTATTACTGACTAGGATTAATGAAAAATATTTTTTAAAAACTTATTATAATAAATTTATCTATTTATGAAAAAAACTAAAGTTTAGCTAATCATCTATTTAGTTAAACTGTAAATATTTATAAAAAAATTTAAATTATATATTAATATAAACATATTTCATATTAATTTAGAATGCATAATTGATAATATTTTTTACACTAAAATTCTTTAAACTAAAATTAAAATTATATATATATATTTATTTTTAGACAATTAATTTATAAAATTATAAAAGTTATTAATTTAAATAAAAACTTATTTTTTAAATTTAATAATATTTAAAAAAAATTAATTATAGTTTATATTTATTTTTTTGAATTTTATAAATAAGTACTTGTATATAATACTTGTAATAAATATAATTAAAAAATTGTTTTCTACTTAATTATAAAGTAACT